CTGAAAACCCCAAACCTTACACCTCAAAAAATACCTACAAGGAAGCCCAAAGGCAGGCCAACTTCACACTGCTTGGCCATCACAGGAAGAGGAACTTCTTGGCTCCGAGATGGTGGCACCTGGGGATGCGGCTGAGGATCTGAAGGTTCTAGGGTTTAGGGTTTAGGGTTTAGGGTTTAGGGTTTAGGGTTTAGGGTTTAGGGCTTAGGGCTTAGGGTTTAGGATCTCAAGGTTTCAGAGGGCTTGGGGTTCCTAGGACCTTGGTGATTGCTACGAAGTAAAGAAGAGTGGCATGCCTGCAATTGTGCCTGCAATCATTTCGGGCCAGGTGCACCTCGTCGTTAAGCGACACCGTTCACGCAGAGCCGGTTGTCACGGGGAGCACGGATGGATTGGGCCCTAAACCCTAAACCCTAAACCCTAAACCCTAAACCCTAAACCCTAAACCCTAAACCCGCTGCATGAGAAGAAGGCCTGTGCAAACTCTGACCTGCGCCATGCCCGCTGGAATCGGAGGAAGGTAGCTCGCCAGCTGTTGGAAGAGGAGGATTTAGGGTTTAGGGTTTAGGGTTTAGGGTTTAGGGTTTAGGGTTTAGGGTTTAGGGTTTAGGGTTTAGGGTTTAGGGTGGGGTCATTGAAGATTCAGGTCCAGCTGTTGAGGTCTCAGCTTGCAAGTCTTAAGGTGCGAGAGGTCAGGTCCGATGAGTTTTCGGCCGCTGAACATAGGGTTTAGGGTTTAGGGCTCAAGGATCTTAAGGTTTTAGGGCTTGGGGTTTAGGAACTTCGGATTTCTTGAGCTTCGAACGTAGGAAATACCTAAAACCCTAAACCGCTGGGGTTTCAGTTCGAATGAAGGGGCCTTGCGATGGGCTAGCTCAAGCATTTCTTAGTCCTACACCTCGGAGGCCTGAAACCGAAAACCTAAACCTTACACTCTCAGCCTAAACCCTGAACTCTGCAGGGTTTGGGGTTTGGGGTTTGGGGTTTAGGGTTTAGGGTTTAGGGCTTAGGGTTTAGGGTTTAGGGCTTAGGGCTTAGGGCTTGGGGTTTGGGATCTTTAGGAACTCTTCTCGCGCCTGCGCATTCAACCTCAGGCTCGAAACACGAAGCCTTCAAAAGCGACGAGCTGTGAGGCGAACCATTTGGGGAATGCACCCAGGGGCAACGGTTAAACTTTAAATGTCCTACTAAATAAGGAAAAATAAAAAAAATATCTGGTGTGTTTACTTTTTGGGGAATGCACCCAGGGGCAACCTGACTTCTCCAATAACCAAGGGGGAAAAAAAGGTTAGACTTTCATTTTCCTACTAGATAAGGAAACCCAAAAGTTTAAATTTCAAGTAACGGCGAAGTAAGTAAACTAAGGGTATAGGGCTTAGGTTTTACGTTTCGGGTTTAGGGTTAGAGTACCCTTTTTGGTTTAGGGGCTTATACAGGAACCCAAACACCAAAAAAGGAAATGCGGCCTACTCCGAAGGGAAAAGGCGCTCTCAACTTGCCTAGAAACCTTAGGGTGTAGGGTTTCGGGTTTAGGGTTTAGGGTTTAGGGTTTAGGGTTTAGGGTTTAGGCTGATTCTTCCCCTAAACCCTAAACCTTTGCTTCGTGGGGTGCCTTACTGAGAGGGTTCCCGGGTCTCCTTGAGATGAGGCGCTGGAACTGTGCTCCACCTCTCCCAGGAGACAAAGGTTTAGGGTTTAGGGTTTTGGCTTTAGGCTTTAGGCTTTAGGGCTAAGGGTTTAGGATTTAGGGTTGGGGGCTTAAAAGGCTTAGGGCCTGAATTGTAGGGAATAATGTTCATCCTGATTCTTCCTTTGATACAGGCGGGGACCACACGTGAAGGCCGAGGAATTCTGAATCCTAAACACCCCAAGACCCTCCACACGGAACCCCTAAACCCGTCCGAACCCAGTGAGATTCATAGTTAATTACCCTAAACCCTAAACCCTAAACCCTAAACCCTGAACCCTAAACCCTAAACCCTAAACCCTAAACCCTAAACCGCAAACCTTAACCCTAAACCCTAAACCCTAAACCCTGAACCCTAAACCCCTAAACCCTAGACAGCCTGTCGCCCTTAAAGCAAGCCCCGAACAGGGAAGTCCAGCGCCCACCTTCCCAGATGGCTCGCCCCCCACCGTCTCTTAAAACCCTGAACCCTAACCTCCTCCGCAAAGCCCTGGTTTCGGGTTTAGGGTTTAGGGTTTAGGGTTTAGGGTTTAGGGTTTAGGGTTTAGGGTTTAGGGTTTAGGGTTTAGGGTTTTCGATTCTTAGGGCTGCACCAGCCATCCAGGCTGCTCACTGAGATCTCCAACTTGCACCCCAAAGCCGCCCTAATCGCGAGAAATCCCTGCCTGAACAACCCTAAACCCTAAACCCTAAACCCTAAACCCTAAACCCTAAACCCTAAACCCTAAACCCTAAACCCTAAACCCTAGCCCCTAAGCCCCTAAGCCCCTAAGCTCCTGCGCCCCCTAAACGCCAAACCTCGAGGCAAACCTCCAGACCCCACCCCCCCCCCCTCCCAGGCTCCGAAAGGCCGAAAGGCATGTCCTAAGAAAACTTTAGGGGGTTTAGGGGTTTGGGGGTTTGGGGGTGTAGGGGTTAAGGGGTTAAGGGGTTCAGGCGTTTAGGGGTTTAGGGGTTTAGGGGTTTAGGGGTTTAGGGGTTTAGGGGTTTAGGGGTTTAGGGGTTTAGGGGATTGGGGCTCGAAACCAGAGGCCAGCAGCCCTAAACCCCCTAAACCTGAAACCTGAAGCTCAAATCCTAAGATCTTCTAAGGGAAGCCTGTCCCGCCAACGCGAACACCTGCACGGAGAGTGCGATCACCTCCGGACAAGGGTTCAGGGTCTATGTCTCCAAACCCTAACCCCTCCAAAACTTCGGGGGCCTTTGTGCGCGCTATGCTTTCAGGAGCATCTTGGGTTACCAGGGAATGAGGGAATGAGGCATCCTATTGGGTCCCTAGTGGTAAAGATAGGGAGATACGAGGTGCCTCATTCCCTCATTCCCTACTAAGAACCAGCAAGGCTGCTGAATTGTTTTGCCGCTAGGGCTTGTTGTTTGGGGTTTAGGGCTCGGCTAGACATGAATTATCGTACCTGTATCTTGTGACTGGTATATTAAAGTATGTGAGCACACGATACATTGGGGGAATTGGATGTTAGGGTGTGTGTGTGTGTGTGTGCGGGGCAAAGACACGTCGGATGTGGGTGGCGGGCTGTAGTACCAGGAGAAGTCCGAATCTCATGCTGAACGAAATCAATTTACAGGGTCCTTCAGGGAGCGGAATTCAAGAATTACGCAACCCAAGGTTCCCTAATACTCACCGCTTCTCCCTAAGGCTCCCTAAGCTTCCCCGAGGACCTTTAGGTACCTACCCACCATGAACCAGGATCCCATACAAAACACTAAACCCTAAACCCTAAACCCTAAACCCTAATTTGCATGTATCCAAGAACCCCCCCCCCCCATCAAAACAACGCCCGCGGGTGCAGCAAGACACCAGCGCGGTGGTCCCCACAGGCCAGTCGAAGACGACGTGGTTCAACCAAATGTCCCCCACGAAGTAGACCTCAGCCAAGCGATAAAACTACCCTCTGGGTTTCGGGTTTAGGGTTTAGGGTTTAGGGTTTTGGGTTTTGGGTTTAGGGTTTAGGGTTTTGGGTTTAGGGTTTAGGGTTTAGGGCTTAGGGCTTAGGGTTTAGGCCTTAGGCCTAGGGCTTAGGGCTTAGGGCTTTTAAGGCAGACAGGAGACTGTAGCCCGAGAATGCAGTCTCGGGGCTTCAGGGTGCTTAGCGTGGTCTCTTAGTATGGGCCCTTACAAGGGGACCCCGCTTTTCTAGGACTTCTATACCCTATACAACCCAAGGGCCCGTACTTCAGAACCCTTCAAATAAGGCAAGGGACCATATTAAAGAGGCCATTTACCTACCCGCAGAGGGTTACTAACCCCAATTAGCTGCTGCCTATGTCCCATTCGTGCCAGCCGGTTTAAGTCTGCAATGTCACAATCGCATCTCACATGTCGGAATGAAATGGACTTCTCACTAAGACTCTGAAAAGGTTCTCCAAACAGCGACCTCCTGCCACGTGGAGCCTATGCGCTCAAAGCAGAGACTCCCTAAACGCTAAACCCCTGAAAACCTAAATCCGGAGCCCTTTAGGGATGTTTGGGGCTTTCGGGGTTTAAGCGCTTTGGGGCTTTAGGAGCTGAAGCCAAAGACTTTGAAACCTAAAAGCCGAGCTTGAGAAATTTCGGGGCTGTTTAGACCATGGGGGTCAAAGCAGTCAAAACAGACCTGAAGTTGGCAGAGCTCTCCGCAATGGTGCCAAGAGGGCGGTAAAGCACTCAAAAAAACCCGAAAACCCTAAACCCTAAAGCCCTAAACCCTAAAACCCTAAACCCTAAAGCCATCGATACGGGACTGCATCCATTCTAACGTGATGGCCAGGGAAAAAGAACACGCCAAGCCCCCTGAACCTCAACCCTAGACCCTAAAAAACCTTAAGCCCTTTAAACCCTTTAAACCTTAAACCCTAAACCCTCTAAACCTTGAGCCCGACCTTAAGCCCTAAACCCTCTAAACCTGAAGCCCTAAACCCTCTAAAGCTTTAAAACCTAAACCTTTAAACCTAGGGTTTAGGGTTTAGGGTTTAGGGTTTAGGGTGGTTTAGGGTTTAGGGTTTAGGGTTTAGGGTTTAGGGTTTAGGGTTTAGGGTTTAGGGTTTAGGGTTTAGGGTTTAGGGTTTAGGGTTTAGGGTTTAGGGTTTAGGGTTTAGGGTTAAACCCTCTGAACCTTGAGCCCGAAATTCACAAAGCCGCAGACGTCTGTGACGAGGGGCGATGAGCAGGGAAATCTGCTGTGCGCTGGAGCGGATGACGGTCGAGAGCCGCTTGGCCACCAGGCCTCCAGGGGGGGGCTCTGACATGGACGAGGGTTTTGAGGGTTCGTATAGTAGATTCCGAAATCCTGAATCTTGGCCATCGCACATATTGGTGGTTGGCTTTGGGCTCGGAGGCTTCTTTTGGGTGCCCCTAAACCCTAAACCCTAAACCCTAAGAACTAAATCCTAAGAACTAAACCCTAAGAACTAAACCCTAAGAACTAAACCCTAAACCCTAAACCCTAAACCCTAAACCCTAAACCCTAAACCCTAAACCCTAAACCCTAAACCCTGAACCCTGAACCCTGAACCCTCCTCCCTGCAAACATTCTGAAAGGCGAAGCCTGCGAGCCAGTTCTGGAGCAGGGTCACCACCAGCACCAGCACCTGCTTCAGGAAGGAGGGGGTTTCGGGTTTAGGGTTTAGCGCATGAATGGCGAGACGAAGAAAATGCAAACACAAACAACCCACAACCATAACTATGAATGTTTGGAGGCACCAAACAACTCTTTCTAAGCCGATAAAACCCGAAGCGAAATCTCCAGAAAACAGCCCTAAACCCTAAACCCTAAGCCCCAAACCCCAAACCCCAAACCCCCCCCCCCCCCCAAAGAATCGAAGCCCTCACACCCATCCCATCCCGCAGGCCATCCGGGCGTCCCAGGCCACGAAGATACCCGCCTCCATCCTGTCCAAGCTGCTGTTCATCTTACTGGCTGAGTGTTCTGGCGGGAAAATCAAACTTTGGGTGTTGAAGAACCCTCCCCAGACTAAGTTAAACTTTGGGCTTCTAAAGGGGACTGTTGGTACCCCCAAAAAATGTCAAACCCTTAACCCTAAGCCCTAAACCCTAAACCCTAAACCCTGAAACCCTAAACCCTGAAACCCTAAACCCTGAACCCTGAAACCCTGAAACCCTAAACCCTGAAACCCTAAACCCTAAGCTCTAGGGCCATGGTCCTCCAGGTCCCGGCGGCCCAGGGCTCAGTTGAGCGTTTAGTTCTTCCGTGGCGGCTCAAGAGCTTCAGGGGGGGGCTTTTGGGAGTCTAGCTCCCAGGAGGGACCTGGGAATGGCAAGGGTGCCCTTTTTGGTTTAGGGTTTAGGGTTTAGGGTTTAGGGTTTAGGGTTTAGGGTTTAGGGTTTAGGGTTTTGGGGTTTAGGGTTTAAGAGTTTAGGGCTGAAGGCTTAGGAGGGGCTGCCTTAACCCTCAAAAAAAGGGGATGAGGGTCTAGTCTGGGTCCTAGGAGTAGAGTCGAGGCGGTTGGGCTTGGGCTGGCAAGGCGGGTGCCGTCGCTTGGGTGCTCGAGCTTCGTTTACGCCCTCGGTCGAGAGATCTTCGGGGGGAAGATCGCTAAGCCCGAAAACCCAAAACCTAAACCCTGAACCCTGAACCCTCTGAACGGCATCTTGGTTTTGGTCCTTTGGGCTTGTCCTATGCTTCCCTTAGAACCATGAGTAGACGTTTTCCCCTCAACACCCTAAACCCAAACCCTCAACCCTCAACCCCAAACCCCAAACTCTAAACCCTAAAGCCTAAACCCTCAACCCTAAACCCCAAACCCCAAACCCTCTACCCTGCCCTCTTTGAGTGGATCTGCTTTAGGGAGTAACCTAAAACCTAAACCCGAAACCCGAAACCCTAAACCCTAAACACCGCACTCCTACCAACCCCCTGTGTGCGGCAGGTGCCTTCCACTCACGTCCCGCGTCTTCCAGAAGGCATCGTTGGGCCGCTGGCTGGCTACGCCGCAGACGAACAGCATGACGATCTCGGTGTAGGGTTTAGGGTTTAGGGTTTAGGGTTTAGGGTTTAGGGTTTAGGGTTTAGGGTTTAGGTTTGAGGTTTTAGGGTTTAGGGTTTAGGGTTTAGGTCTTAGGGTTTAGGGTTTAGAGTTTAGGAGTTTAGGGTTTAGGGGTTAGGGGAAAGGGGTTAGGGGAAAGGGGTTTAGGTTTAGGGTTTAAGTTTTGGGGTTTAGGGTTTAGGGTTTCTTTGGGGGAGGGGGTCAGGTTTCGCATGGATACAGGCTGTGAGTCTACGGAGGGTCTGCGGTTGCAGGCAAGCCCTAAACCTTTAAACCTCTTAAAAGACAGAAGTCCCTGAACCCCCAAAACCCTCAAGCCCTTAAAAACCTTAACCCTTAACCCTAAACCCTAAACCCTAAACCCTAAACCCTAAACCCTAAAGCCTACGGGTCTTAAGAGGCCCAAGGGGCCGAAGTAAGGAAACTGCCGATATCCAAGGTCACCTTCTGGATGTAGAAGGGGCTGCTGCCGGCCTACCACTGTTTAGGGTTTAGGGTTTAGGGTTTAGGGTTTAGGGTTTAGGGTTTAGGGTTTAGGGTTTGGGGTTTGGGGTTTAGGGTTTAGGGTTTCTTGGTGGCCCAGAAACCATATTACTGAGGGTGCCCCTTTGTTGGTGTTCGCTACTTTGGCCAAATCCTAAACCCTAAACCCCCCAAACCCAGAAACGAATGGGCCGTCAAGGTTCCTGGGTCTAGGGTTTGGGGTTTAGGGTTGGAGGGCTTTGAGGGCTGCAGACGGAAAACAGGGAACCTTGACCCCTTGAAACTCTGAACGGCCTGAGGCTCGAAAAATGCCTAGATCAACTTCGGGTTTAGGGTTTGGGGGGTTCAGGCGTTCAGGGTTCAGGGGTTTAGGGGTTTAGGGGTTTAGGGGTTAGGGTTTAGGGGTTTTGGGTTTAGGGGTCTGGGGTTTAGGGTTCTGGGGTTTAGGGTTTAGGACTAAGGGGCCTTCATGATCTTCTCCGAAAGCATCGAGGCCAGGCAAGACATGCAGACCTGGGGACGACAAAGGGTGCGGTTTTTTTTCGGGTTTAGGGTTTGGGGTTTGGGGTTTAGAGTTTAGGGTTTAGGGTTTAGGGCCTAGGGTTTAGGGTTTAGGAGTCCCAGACCCAAAGCCTGTGCACAAAAAAAGAGGGGTCGGAATAATTACTAGTAATATTCCTCTGTGGCCCCTTTATAGTTAGTTTCATAATAACCCCCAAAACCCTGTTCTCACTATTAAGGGTCCTACAGTAGCAGAGATGTGTTTGCAGGGCTTAGTTGGCTCACAAAAGGACGACCAGTTCCCAGCACCCAAGACAGCACAGCAGACAGTTCGGTCCGTGTGTCCTATTTGGGGTTTAGGCCGTCTGATCGCAGGGGCTCCAGAGAAACATATTCATAACACGAACCCAAATAAGAGCAGGCAAAAAAGTGTGTGAGAGTGTGAGTATGTGTGTATATGATATATATATATATATATATATAGATATATATATATATATATATATATGTACATATATGTATGTATATATATATATATATATACATATATATATATATATGCATCGCAAAGGCCTACCGAACCAGCAAGAACCCTGACCCAGCCCAGTCGCGGAGAGTATCACGAAGAGGATCCCAGTGGAGAAGATGTGGGACGACACCTGGCCTGCGTGGCGTAGATGATGCATGTGTGGTGTGTGTATATGTTTCTTATATAGCGGCACATATACAACCCTACATAAACATGTATATATATATATATATATGCATATATGTATATGCATATATGTACATGTATATGCAAACATACATGTATGTACATATTTGGACTCACCAACATTTACACGGAACAATATATATATATATATATGTATAATGCATATATATATATACTCACACATAACAGACACATGAACCTTGTTTGACATTTCGCCCCGGCAGCCTGCCACCATGATTTGATGTGAGAACTTCAGGGGACTAACTTGAGTTTGCAATTCAGGGCTAGCCAAGGGGTCTAGGCTTTTAGGTTTAGGGTTTAGGGCTTAGGGTTTAGGGTTTGGTTTTGCAGGGTCTTAGGTTCTTAGGGTCTAGGGCCTGTGGCTTGTGGAGATTTGGGGATGTTTCGGTTTGGGGCTTGTAGGTTTTTGGGATGAGGGCTTAGGGGGTTGGAGTTAAGGCAGGGCTCCGGAAGGGAGCTTGAGGTGTGGGGTCTTGGGGATTATGAGGGCTTCGGGTGTAAATTCGGGCTGAAGATTTAGGTTTATGGTATAAGGGGCCAGGAACTCGGATGTTTTTGGGGTCATTAGGGTTTAGGGTTTAGGGACTCCAATGAAACCCTACACCCCTAAATCATACACCCTTAACAAAACACTCAGCCCTACGCCACTCCTGCAGGGTGTTGCATTTTGGGCCCCCAAAGATATCATTAAAAGGGAGAGTTTAAGCTTTACGAAGGGGTTTAGGGGTTTAGGGTTTAGGGTTTAGGGTTTAGGGTTTAGGGTTTAGGGTTTAGGGTTTAGGGTTTAGGGTTTAGGGTTTAGGGTTTAGGGTTTAGGGTTTAGGGTTTAGGGTTTAGCTAGCAGCCAGTCAAAACCACTTGTTGAGCTGCGTGAACCGCAGGACGCGTGCCAAGCGTTTGTGCGGCTTTGTGCGGCGGGAGAAGAGCAAGCTGCTTCAAATACACCAGTTCGAACGCGCATGTAGACAGACTATGTCTGGTGTCTTTATCTGAGTAGCCGAGTAACCATATTCTAATAAGGGCACCCTTTTGGGGGTTGGTTACTCTACAAGGGACCCATAACAAAAAAAGAGAGTACCACTAGGCTGCCAAGTTCTGCCTGGAACTTGATTTGCCCTTGTGCAGCTTGAGGAAGCTACGAGTCTTTCTCACCCCGATCCGTCAGCCCCCCGAACACTTTAATGGAGGCTCAAAGGCTCAAACTCGGAGGTTATTGGACCCTTAGCTGCTGGGAACTGTACCCCCCCTTAGAACCTTTAAAGAACGTACTTGTTCAATACTCTCGTGGGGTTTTTGAGAAATAAGACATGCAAGATTCCTAAAGGGGGCTATGGGGAAAGTGGTAGATGGCCGGCCTGAGGGAGACTGCTGCAGCAGCACGAAGACGCTGGCGCTGAGCATCAGCGCCTCGAGCGCGCTGACTTCGGCGGTTTGGGGGGTTTGGGGGTTTAGGGTTTGAGGGTTTGAGGGTTTGAGGGTTTGAGGGTTTGAGGGTTTGAGGGCTTGAGGGTTTGAGGGTTTGAGGGTTTGAGGGTTTGTTTAAGGGTCTTTTAGGGTTCTAGGACTTTAATAGGGTTTTAGACTTGTAGGGC